TGTTCATCAGGCTTAGCTCCAATTTAAATAAGGACAGCTGAGACAGAAACAAAAATTGGTTCCAAAGGCTGTTTGACACAAACGACAATTACATGAGATTCAATGTGTGCTGAGTTTAATCAACGTTTTGTTGCTGCAGAAAGGGATGTTAACACAATAGGTTAGGACAGCATCAATCCACCTCTGGGACCTCAATTGAATGTATCCAAGACCCATGGGATAAAAGTCTCCTCCATGGCAGCTGAAAACGTCCCAATTTAAATTGGTTGTGGCAACATCAACCCAAGCTAGAGTCCGTACTATTATCCTGTTTGTGATTCACTAATTGGCAGTCTCGCTCACAGAAACGTCACGACCATGTATGGTGCAAGATGGGGAAATGTTTCACAGAATACACTTTGAAGTGAATTGACCAGATATTTTGTTGCGAAACTTGGCAGCCAATTCCACACAGCAGTGTCCCACAAACATTAGTGGATTAAGTGATCAAATTATTATTATTATTATTATTATTTCTTATTATTATTTTGGAGGGGTTATTAACCCCAGAAAAGCAATCCGCCAATCGACGACTAATAACCAGGTTCCTACTTACTGCTGGGTGAACAGTATTGCTTGCCAGGAAAGTGCTCCAACCACTACGCTACAGGACATTTATATAACAGGATTAGAAAGAGGTTTAATTTACATGAATAAAGTAATTTACTTAAAATTAACGTGGAAGTGCTGGTGTATTTCATATGCGAATTATATTCTCATATATATATAATGTATATATATTAAGGATGAAACCTTGGGCAAGTTTCCTTACTCCACACGTCTGATAATAATCCCTCAAGAAAATAATAAATTGGTCATTTCAATCAACGACTGTTTATGGGACACTGCTGTGCGCAATTGGCTGCCACATTTCGCCCACAAATATACGGTCAATTCACTTTACAGTCTATTCTGTGAAGCGCTTTGAGTTGTCTAGAAGATGTAAAAAGCGCTATATCAAATGAAAGGATTATTATTATTATTATTACATCAAACTAATAATAATAATTCTTGTACATGGTATAGCGCCAATCGAAAAGTTGCTAATTTCACCCCCAAAATGTTTGTGTCATATGTTAGCAACCCTGATCAACAATTGTTTTTTAATTGCCTAATTATTTCTAACTTTCAGTATTATCCTGTCTTGGCCAGTATTTACCCAGGAAAGCTTTATGTTTTTTTAAACCATTGTTGCAGCTTGCAGTTTTCAAATACAGAACACTTTGTCACACTTTGTTCAACTAATATTAAGCATAAAGGTACATGAGAAGGAATGTAATCATCACTGCATCTATCTCTGTAAAGACTTTACAAATTGCAGCCCTCAGATAAGTCGTAGATCTGAAGATCGTTCACGATCTTACCATTCACATTGGCACTGGATAAAACAAATTACTTTGATAAAAAGCAGGATGAGGAAGTAAATTTGCATCACAAGAAGGTAAACGGAGAAATACAGTTAAATCTGCTGATTTGATTTTAAGAGAGAATATATAACAGTATACCTTTGTTGCTTCTGTCGGCAGATACGAAGGAAACAAAGAAGCATGAAAACTGCTTACACAAATAGAGAATAAAATTTGCATTAATATAGCCAGGAGGATGTCTGAAAGCACTTCATTCACAGTGCTGGATACGCACCCGAGCTGGGGGTGGGAGCCAACGGGGTGTGTGGAGGGTAAAGATGACCAATAGCATGGTCAAAGAGGTACATTTTCAAGATTATATTCTTCTTATTAGCTGTAACATCATTGTTGTCACAGAAACACAGAAACATAGAAAAAGGGTAGGCTATTCGGCCTCTCGAGCCTGTTCTGCCATTTTATCACGGCTGATCTGTAATTCAACTCCATTTACCTGTCCTTGCCCCATATCCCTTACTACCCTGACCTAATAGAAGTCATGAACACAGGAAGAATAATGGGATCAAAAATGTGGCATTCTTTAATATATTTTGTTCCTTGTATAAGGAACCAGGTTGAAATGTATTTTGACGCATGCTCACCTCCGAACTTCTCATTAATGGGAGTGCTTAATGCTGGCTGAAACTGTTCTATCTGTCACCCTGTAATTATACTTAGTCAGACCACTGTTTATGGACCAAGAGTAGCCTTTCAGTTGTCGCTTTGCAAGATATTGATTTAATTAAGTCATTATCCTGTAAAATGGCTTTGATACGGTTAGGTGTTCTGTGCTTCCATGCAGCAAAGACAAAAAATAAACCAGTGACTCCAACGTGTACCATCTTGTAGTCTCCTAGTCCGCCATCTTGTTTGTTTAGACCTACCTCTTTGACTGTGCTTTCGGTCATCTTTCTAATCCCCACTTCTCCTGATCCCACCCCAGCTTGGGTGCCCAGCCAGGACTGTTAAGTATTTTGTATTGTATTCTTGTAGGCCATGCCTGGCAGAATCACCACTGCTACTGTAAAAGCAGGCAACCCTCTAAACTATAAACTAAATCCAGGGACACATGTAAATAAATTGAACTCACTATAATTTCTGATACTGGCAGTACTGGAAAAGCTTGTCATATGAATGGCTGTATTACTCTGATGACTGTATCTGTTTTAGAATGCTATTGTTCTTGTTCAGTTTGTTGCTGAATTTAAGACAGGACAAATATGGCCAAGGACACAATATCTATTCTGGGGACTGTCCTCGGAAATCGGAGATGTATGATTACCCTAAACACAAATCCAAGATGACAGCTCTAAACATTTTCGGTTACTTTTACTGACATAACCATTATTTAGAAGTTTGGGGATATTTCAAAATGCAAATGAATCTAAGTCATTAAATAAGGTATGGAATTATTTAGGATTACTCTAAATCTTGATGTTGAGGTACATTAGAACAATGATTTTGACTCACTATACTTGTAATACTTAAATCAGCAAACATACAGTTCATGATCAATTGATTATCTGGTTTCAAACCTTGGGCAAGTTTCCTTACTCCACACAGAGCCTAATAATAATCCCTCATAAAACCAAAAACAATAATAAATTGGTCATTTTCAATCTACGACTGTTTGTGGGACATTGCTGTGTGCAATTGGCTGCCGCATTTGCCCACAAATATACAGTCAATTCACTTTACAGTGTGTTCTGTGAAGCGCTTTGGGACGTCCTCCCGACGTGAAAAGCGCTATATCAAATGCAAGGATTATTATTATTATTATTATTATTATTATTATTATGTTGAAGTAGAGTATAGCATGTATTGCAAGTCTTATTCTGTTCTTCTACAGCAGTCAATCTTTATCAAATTCTATTTGGTATTCTGTATATGTCATACAAAATTGCGTGTTCATAGGACATTGCTGAGCATAAATTAGCTTCCTCATTTGCCTGCAAGTTACAATCACTACACTTTACAGTATATCCTGTGAAGCGCTTTGAGGTGTCTACCCAATGTGAAAGGTGCTATATCAAATGCAAGGATTATTATTATTATTACACTTTGAAACTTGTGCAGAGAAACACTACTATCAGTAGTAGCTTGGTTCTGAGGTATTACTCCAAAGACCAGGATTCAGTGGGAGGAAAGAGTCTCCATTAAGTCTCCACTGTGCTAAGTTGTGACAAAGCTCTGAGAAAAGAATTGCTTTTGACGACACACACACTGCAAGAGAGAGAGAAAGAGAGAGATTTATGGCTTGAAAAAACGTTGCATTTTGTATAGCATTTTTCAATTCAGGAGGATGTTACAAGTGTTTCACAGGATATAATGTAAAGTGGAGTGACTATGTTTTGTGAGCAAATACTGCAGTCAATTTGTGTAGATCAATGTCCCACAAGCAGTGATAGAGTGAATGACCAATTTAATTCAGGGGATTGTTGGCTAGGACACCAGGAGAAATCTTAAGCAATAGCTGATAGTGAAGAACCTTTCACATAAAGGAATAGGTTCCCAATCCTACTAACTGCCCACTCAATCATGAATATTCCTTTGACAGTAGCATGTAACTTGTTAACACTAAGATCAACTAGGCATACTTTAGCACTGGTGAAAAGACAGAACTTGAATAGGAAAATAATGTTGCTCTGATCCCCACTCAGTAATATTGTGGAAACAGTTGCCTCACAAAAATAAAGTAGATGGTGTTTGATATGTATTTTAATAAAATACATCTTAAACTATTCCCAATCTATGTCACTTTTGAATTGATTCACTGAAATATAATTACATGGAATCTCGACTGTAAATCTATTCTAATATAATAATATTAAATACATTTTCTATTTTCAATATAATTTTAGCTGTTACACTTTTTAATGAATTGAGTAGAATATTAAATAAAGGTTTACCCTACGTGTTGCCTGTCCAACACCTAAGAAGGAACAAAGCATTTGTAGTGGGTGCAGATAAGTTAACATATCATTTGGATGGGATTCAAGCACACAATCCTCATTACTTGAAATTCCATGTTTTCATGTGATTCTCTCTATAATCATAATAATAATAATCCTTGCATTTGATATAGTGCTTTTCACGTCGGGAGGACATCCCAAAGCGCTTCACAGAACACACTGTAAAGTGAATTGACTGTATATTTGTGGGCGAACGCGGCAGCCAATTGCGCACAGCAATGTCCCACAAACAGTCGTAGATTGAAAATGACCAATTTATTATTGTTTTGGGTTTTGGTGGGATTATTATTAGGCGTGTGGAGTAAGGAAACTTGCCCAAGGTTTCGCCCTGCCTGGAATTGAACTCGGGTGTCTCGCTTGCAATGCGAGTGCTCTAACCACTGAGCTACAGGACTCTGTACAAGACACATTGTAACATAAACTAACAATAAGAAACGTCACTAAAATTCACATAGCTGCACAATACAATGTTCACTTTCCATGAATGTGTTCAATGGGTGAAACAAGACATCACATACTCTGTCACAGGAGATTGAAGATAAACACAAACAGACGAAGAACATCGGTGAAGCTGATGGTAATAAACTCATTCGACCTTAAATAGAGTGACCGTGGCACTGTAGAAAATACTCAGGAAGAAGAGGATGATGAAGGTGGAAGCAGTCGGCCAGAGGTTGTCACGTTCATCTTGTTGAACACCTTCCAGCATCGTCTCGGTTGGGATAATCTCGCTGGATTTATTAACGGCTCTGGTCAGGGTCTTCAGTGGGAAAGTTTCATGTCCGACCACACAGGAGTAGGAATAGCCTCTGTCCCAATCTCCGGCTGAGATGGATAACATGCTGTACATGGAGTAATTGCCATCTGCACTGTCTGCCATCACCTCAGTGTTCTTGTATTTGTTGGCATCAATCGATTGGTCATTGACAGTCCACTCCACAAAGATCTCTTTGGGAGCGAAGTTCTTCACCAGGCAACTGAGGGTGACAGACTGCTGAGCAGACAATTCTTCTGCCGATGGGAGGAGCAGATACACTGAAGGTTGTTTCCTGTACTCAACGGGCTCCTTAAATATCTTTTTTCTGATGGGAGTCAGTATATCGTCATGGCTGACAATGCAGAAGTATACTTTCCCATCGGTCCAGTCTTGTGTAGAAATGTTTAGTTTACTGATCACTTCCTGAGGCCCAGTGGCAGACGGTTTCCCATATCCAGACTGTAAATGTGTCTGTTCTTGTGTCCAAGTCACGTTGACGTCATGTGGTGCATTCGCGTTACAATGGGTTCTATCAAAACCTGTTTAATATACTTGATCAAAGTACATGAACAACAAAACAATGAAATTATATTTATGGATGTGGTAGAACTTTTTGTTGTAGGCAATAAAAACAATACTTGGCACTCATGAGCTGGTCGAGATTTTTCTTCAAAATGTTTTGATCCTAGGGGTCTGAATGAACGATTGTGCTCCAGTTTGGAATGGTTCCTAGATAACAGAAATTTACTAATCTCACTAACTAGACAGTTAGGGGACCCCTCACATGTCAGGCTGTGTTTGCTTTTGACTGACTGCATCATTTAACAAATTGTTGAATACAGCCTTAATTTTCAAGACAGTGCTTTTAAAACCTATACAACATGGGCTTCAAAAAATGAATTGTAAGAATGAATTGAAGAATTTGCCAAATTTTAAGCACTTTAAAATGCTTCATAAAAAGAGTAAATCTAGACTCAGGTAGAATTTCTCTACAAAGATGTTTTATATTGAATGCCTCTGTATGTGATCTGGAATTCCTGATGGGTAATTGTAATATTATAAATGGAATAAACATTGGAACACTGAGCCACAATAAATAATTAGATCCATCTCACTTGTGGAATGAATTCTCTGTTGTGAATTTGTACCTTAATCAATTTTGTAGCTGCTGACAATATGAGGTCATAGATTTGGAGTGCAAAATCAACCATCAGTGACACTGAAGACAGGAATAAGTGAAGTTTTTGAGGAATATTCAATACACAGATTGTAGAGATTGCTTTTTGAGATATACATATTTCAAACACAAGTTCATCAGAGTCTATCAATATCAATATTAAAAATAGCAATTATATTATTGGGTATTTTGATTTCAACACTCCACACAGGCATAAACCTGACTACTTTTAAATACTCATGGGCGCTTAAATAACACTGTTATAATGCAATAATGCTTCAACTTGGACATGAAATTTGTGTCATTTCATATTGAGACTCCACAAATGCCACCCAATAATGACTTATTAGGTTGAAACATCCAAAATCCTTCACACAACGCATTGCTTCTTTAGACTTGTTTGAAATTTGAAGTGGAGTCCTGTAGCTCAGTGGTTAGAGCACTCGCTTTGAAAGCGAGACACCTGGGTTCGATTCCCGGCAGAGGGCGAAACCTTGGGCAAGTTTCCTTACTCCACATGCCTAATAATAATCCCTCAAAAAAAACAATAATAAATTGGTCATTTCAATCCACAACTGTTTGTGGGACACTGCTGTGCGTAATTGGCTGCCGCATTTCGCCCACAAATATACAGTCTATTCTGTGAAGCGCTTTGAGACGTCTAGAAGATGTGAAAAGTGCTATATCAAATGCAAGGATTATTATTATTAATAAAAATAAGCTGCACCACAGCCAACTAGTAAATCTATGCTCGCCGTGCCATTGTTCAAACCCATTCAGCATTGCTCACCAGGGATACATTGCATAGACAAGACTGCACATTTATAATATTGTATCAACTTTACAATCCCCTATGTTTTAATTAAAAGTATTCACCTCCATCAAACACATAGGTAATGTTCTCTATCCAGCCACTGATCAGGGGAAAACCATCCATCACTTAAAATCTTCAGTTCTGAAAACTATGCAATTACTGTGCTAATAGATGCAACTAATTGTATTACTCGAATGAAATAATGTGAATTGTGCTTAATGTGAGCCATGTGTGACGCCTGAATCACTGACAGCCAACAACATTCTTGGACATTTTGTAAGTCAGATCTGGGTTGGAGTGTAGGAGTTTTGCAACATTCATTTTCAAATGCATGTACTGCAAAGGCATGGATGAGAATCGAGTATACGGAGCATAACCTAAGAACAAGGGTGGAATGAGGGGTTCAGCTTGTCATAGAATCATAGCACATCATATCACAGAAACTGGCTATTAAGTCTATCAAGGCCATTAGAGTCCTGTAGCTCAACGGTTAGAGCACTCACCTAAGAGCACTCGCTTTGCAAGCGAGAGACCTGAGTTCAATTCCAGGCAGGGCGAAACCTTAGGCAAGTTTCCTTACTCCACACGCCTAATAATAAACCCTCCAAAACAAAAAACAATAATAAATTGGTTCATTTTCAATCTACGACTGTTTGTGGGACAATTTGTTTGTGCGCAATTGTCTGCCGCGTTCGCCCACAAATATACAGTCAATTCACTTTACAGTATATTCTGTGAAGCACTTTGAGACGTCTAGAAGACGTGAAAAGCGCTATATCAAATGCAAGGATTATTATTATTATAACAAGCGAGAGACCTGAGTTTCGATTCCCGGCAGAACGAAATGTTGGACAAGTTTCTTAATATAATAATTTAATCCTTGTATTTGATATAACATTTTTCACATCTTGTAGACATCTCAAAGCGCTTTACAGAATATACTGTAAAGTGAATTGACTATATATCTTGTGGGTGAAACGCGGCAGCCAAATGCGCACAGCACTGTCCCAGAAACAGTCGTGGATTGAGTGATCAAATTATTATTGTTGCTTTTTTTCATGAGCAATTATTATCAGGTGTGTGGAGTAAGGAAACATGCCCAAACTTTCACCCTGGCGGGAATTGAACCCAGGTTTTTCGCTTGCGAGAACCTTACTCCACACGCCTCTGTTTACCTACCAGTAAGTAGGACCCTGATTTGATAGTCAATTGGTGGATTACTTTTCCGGGGGTAATAATCCTTTCAAAAAAAAAATTGGTCACTCAATCCACAAATGTTTGTGGGACACTGCTGTGCGCAATTGGCTGCTGAGTTTCGCCCACAAAATATACAGTCAATTTACAGTATATTCTGTGATAAAGTGCTATATCAAATGCAAATACAAGGATTATTAACTCTGTTCTGTTTGTCGTTCTACTTAAACCATTTTAATCAATCCCATTCCCCTGCTTACTCCTCATACCTTTTTGATATATATTTTCTTATTCAGGGTTCTGTCTAACTCACTTCTAAAATAATTTCTAACCTGCTGTTTATTTTACCCTGATTTTGGCCATTTGATTCTGCTTTCAATTATCTTCTCCTACCCACACCCCTCAGCTCTCACCTCCAGTTTAAGTGCCCAGCCAAAATTGTCATGTGCTTTGAGACATCCTCCTGACATAAATATAACTTTTATCGTAAATCTTTTTGTGATTATTTTTGTGTTTCCGGCCTCTATCTTAAATGTGTGCTCTGTGGGGAGGATAGAATCTGCAGACAGCAGGGAATATCTTAGGTGTGGGTCCTTGAAAAGGTAACATGAGTCACAGGTCTACAAAATCAGATGGGATTGAGCAAGATTCCATAGGATATTAGTCAATTCAACAGCAGTTTAGAAATTCTTTTAGAAGGAGTTAGACCTCACGGTCACTTTAGGGATGACCCTCGTGAGGACAAGAGACCACATTTAATTTCCTCTTTGAGTGCTAGAGGCATAGACCACATGAGCACATCAGTGCTCGAACAGCTACAAGACAACAGATTCCAGATCCACTCTGGATGAAGATTGATAAAGATCAATGGATAGATTTGGGACTCGTTTTCCGTGTGATTGTTAATATTGTATGATAACTGTTGTCAGCATTATATCGAGGCTTGACTATGCAAACTCATTGCTTATCAGCCTCCCCAACTCCTCCCTCCATTGACTGCAAATCATCCAGAACTCTGCAGCCCGTGTCCTCTCCCGCACCGGGCTCCGGGGCCCTATCGCCCCCATCCTCGCCCGACTCCACTGGCTTCCCATCACACAGAGGATACATTTCAAGATTCTGCTCCTCACCTTCAAAGCCCTCCGTGGCCTTGTTCCCCCCTAACTCTGCGACCTCCTAATCCCCTACCATCCTGCTCGCTCCCTCCACTCAGCGGGCTCCGGCCTGCTTCATGTCCCCCGCCTCACTTGCCCCACTATTGGCGGGGAGGCCTTCCGCCACTTTGCCCCCACCCTCTGGAACTCCATCTCGCCGTCCCTCCGCCTCGCCCCTCCCTTGGCTCCTTCAAGACACATCTCAAGGCCCTCCTCTTCGATCGTGCTTTTGATTTCCCTGCTTCCCCTCCACTGCCCTCCACCCTTCCCGACCCCGACCCCCAGCTCCGGTCCAAAACTCTGTCTGTCCAGTGCCATGCGATGTCCTCCCCACGTGAAAGGCGCTTTACAAATGTAATTTTATTGTTGTTGTTGTTTACCCAACTAAATTTGGTAACCTAGGCCTGGTGAGGAAGTCACAATGCGATAATAAGAATATACTGCCAACAGACTAACTAGAAGCATAGAAATATAGAAACATAGAAATCTGTTGCGCAGAAGGAGGGGAATTTGCCAGCATGGAATTCCCAATTTCCATTTTCAAAGTATCAGACTTATCTGGCAATCCAATGGGAGTTGCAATTATGTATCAAATGTGGGTAGAGAATAACAATAATTTACATTAATACAGTGCCATAAGGAGGACAATTCACTTTACAGTGAAGCGTTTTGAGATGTTTTGAAGATGTGATATGTCGCTATATCAAATGCAAGGATTATTATTATCTCAAAGAGCTTCATAAAGCTAATGAGGTGGGTGGGGGAAAGGTAAACAAATATCACATAGATTCAGAGGTATAAGAAATTATTGGAATATTGAATTTAGGAAGATGGAGACAATAGCAACGAGGGTGATCAGAAGATGTTGGAAATTGAAGCAAAGTAGTTCAAAAGAACAAGAGAAAGTGTGAAGTGAGGCACAGGGAGGAGTTTAGCAGAATTCAATTAAAACTTGATCAGAAATAAGGTAGTGAGTAAGAAGTCAGCAAGGAAAGATAAGGCAGGCCACCGTTATCAAACCAAAATGATTCAGTTGTGAACTTCAGCCTTCATTAATCTGGTGATGATTGCAATGGAAAGTATTTGTAAGGAAGTTCTATAGTTTTCCCACTGTGAGTTCTAATCCCTTTCCCATTCCTGCAGCAAACTAGAGGTATGAAAGGATTAAAGGATTAGAGCTCCCCAGTGGGTTCTTTACCCACTTGTCCTTTTGTTGTTTTCAACCATGAGAAATCCTGAAGCAGTGGAAACGAATGCAATTTCTTTGGGTTTTTATCCCTTGCTCTATGTTTTTTCTCCTGGTAGCAATTTTTGTTCAAATCTTGTTCCACTGGAGATTGCATTCATTAACATACAAGGTGGGGAAAATGTCACTGATTGATTGGTCGAACATGATTCTGGAAGCTGTCACAATTGGTTTGGTTTTGTAAATTGGGTGCTGCTTGTGTCATCCTTATGAGGAGTTTTTTTTACCAGTTTGTTTCATTTGTGACATTTTGTGGAAAATTGCCACTTTCAACATTTTTATCAAGGTCAATATTTTTCCAAAGGAGTCTTGATAAGAAATATTTTAGTGCAAATTAGATCCAACAGTATCTAAACCCTCAAAACAAATTCATGACCACATTTTCACTGGTCACAGTCTGAGATGGTCATATCTTGTAGCGATGACTCAACCTCATTAAAGGTAAGCTAATTTGTCAATGCAAAATAATTATTTACATTCATTAAAGTGATTGAAATTTCTAAAGTAGCAATTCTACGACTTTTGAGTAATGTAACCGTGTTTTAATTTTCTCTCCTTTTGACGATAATAATAATCCTTGAATTTGATGTAGCACCTTATCACATCATTAATATGTCTCAAAACATTTCACAGGATGTACTGTAAAGTGGTTTTGACTGTGGGTGAAACACAGCAGGAAGTTTGTACATAGCAATGTCCCACAAACAGCCATGAAGTGAATAACCAATTTTATTTGAGGGATTTGTTGTCCAGGACACTGGGAGACATGCCCTTCTCTTTCAAATAGTGCCATGAGATCTTTAATATGCACCTGAACAGGAAGATGGGACTTGGTTTAACGTCTCATCCAAAGGATGATAAATCAGACTGACGTGACTGACTGAGTGATTCATCTGCCATCTGAATTTTTCCCTCATTGGGAACATGCTGCTGACTGCTGTCTTCTGATGAAGAGCAGAACTAACCATGCAACAAACCGTGGAGCACCATCACACATGCATCAACATGATGTGACTCTACTGCCTCATCCAGAATGTCTAACACATGTTTACACAAAATCCATACAGAAAAATCACAACTCTAAAGGTCATAACGGTTTCATAATTTCACGCAAATACCTTACAGATTGACCTGGAATTTCTGTTATAAATATGCTATAGCAGCTGTGATGTTCTCTGGGGAAACTACGCAATACATATAACAATCTATACTGCTGCTGGTACAATAAACCTTAAGAAGCTTATCTCCAGCTTGTTTTGAGTTTGATTTGAGAAGAATGGCTCTGCCACAACAGTGAGAGAACAGAATACAAAAGCCTCATTCCTCAAAGTCCGAGCAATACTTAACCCACTGCTTAGGAAATGTATGTCGTTAATAACCTTCCCCGCTTCATGCACCACCTTTGCACATCCTACATGAGTGGACACACACACTCCACACACACACACTACCCCGCTGCCACATACACTCCTTATACCCATTACTGAGCCCAATCATATGTTTTACCTTGCCCTTTAATCCCAGCCTGA